ACTGAGCCACCCAGGCGCCCCTGGAAACCTTTCCTGAACTAAAGGCCAGATAATAAATATTTAGGGCTCTGCCAGCCATTCAGGCTCTCACACAACTCAGTGCCGCCATCAGGCACAGAAGCATCCATAAACACTAACAAGCATGGCTACATTCCAAGGAAGTTTATCGACAAAACAGACAGCAAGCCAGGTTTGTCCCACAAACCAGTTTGCCTTCTCCTGGTCTAAATACTTAAATTAAGAGGCACAGGCTATCAGACTGGGCAAACAAAAACAAGATCCAATTACATGCTATCTACAAAAATCTCACTTTAAATATAAAGATACAGACAGATGAAAAGTAAAAAGAAAGAGCTGTGTCATGCTATTAATCAAAAGAAAGCTGGAGGAATTACATTACCACCACACAAAGTAGATTTCAGGGGGAAAAAAGAATATTAACATGGATAGGAAGTCACTTCATAATGGTAACAGGGTCAATTCATTAGCAGAACAAAGCAATCCAAACGTGTATGCACTTTAGAAAGAGAAAGTACATGAAGCAAAAACTGACTGAACTGAAAAGAGAAATAAATCCAAATTTATAGTTGGGGACGTCAACACACCCTCTTCTCTCAGTGAGTGGTAAAACACTCACACAAAATTCAGGAAGGATAGAAAGGACCGAACACAATCAACCAACCTGACCTAACACTGACAGACCTCTCTACCCAATAACAGCAAATAAACATGAAACATTTACCAAGATAGAGCTTATGCGGAGCCATAAAATAAGTCTCAATAAATTTAAAAGGACTAAAATAATTATGAAGTATGGTCTCCAACTAAAGCAAAATTAAACAGAAATCTGTAACACAAGGTATACAGAAAAATCCCCTAATCCTAGAAATTAAACAACATACTTCTAATCCATGGATCAAAGAAGAAATCAGGAGTGAAATTAGACATTATTTCAAAACTGAGTGAAAGTGGAAACAGTAAAATCAAGTTTGTGGGATGCTTCTAAAGCAATGCATAAAGGGAAATTTACAGCACTAAGTACTGAGAAAACAAAGACCTAAAAAGTAAGATCACTACAGCTCCTACAGATAAGGAAATAGTATGACCTTTATGCCAATAAATATTACAACTCAAGTTGAAATGAATAAATTCCTCAGAAGAAGACAAACTACCAAAGCTCACTCAAAAAAAATTAGATAACATGATAGCCTGATATCTAGTCAAGAAACTGAATTCATTGTTAGTCTTCCCACAAAATGGGACACCTGGGTGGCTCAGTTAAATGTCCGACTCTTTATTTTGGCTTAGGTCATGATCTCAGGGTCATGAGATCCAGCCCCACATGGGGCTCCATGCTCAACGGGAAGTCTGCTTGAGATTCTCTCTCTCCCTCTCTCTCTGCCTCCCCCCCACTCCCCCTACCCCGGTCATGCTCATGCTCTCTCTATATAAAAAATAAAATAAAATAAAAACAAAACCTTTCCACAAAGAAAACTCCAACTCTAGATGGCTTTGTTAGGAATTCTACTAAACATTTACAGAAGAAACATTATCAATTCACAAACTTCCAGAAAATAAAGAGGAAGAAACAATTCCCAGTTCATTCCATGAAGCCAGAATTACCCTGACACCAAAACTAGACAAAGATATTACAAAAAATTGAAACTACAGACCATATCACTCATGAATACAGATGCAAAAATCCTTAACAAATATTCTACAAATCAATCCAACATATAAAAGAACCAAGTAGAATTTCTCCCAGAGATAGTTTGGTTTAAGAGTTTATTTATTTATTTTTTTAAAGATTTTATTTATTTATTTCAGAGAGAGAGAATGAGAGAGAGCACATGAGAGGGGGGAGGGGCAGAGGGAGAACCAGACTCCCTGCCGAGCAGGGAGCCCGATGCGGGACTTGATCCTGGGACTCCAGGATCATGACCTGAGCCGAAGGCAGTCGCTTAACCAACTGAGCCACCCAGGCGCCCAAGAGTTTATTTTTTAAAAAAGAAAATCAAACCACGTTGTTCACCATATTAGACTTAAAAAAGACAATTATCTTGATACAGAAAAATCACTTTAACAAAATTCAACATCTAGTCATAATTTTTGCTCTCACCAAGGTAGGAATAAGGAACTTCCTCAACCTGAAAAAGGATCTACAGAGAACATACAGCTAACAATCACACTGTATGGTAATATAATAAACATTCTTACTGCTAGTGTAATACAGCTTTATTTCAAAAAAAATTTTTTTGTTTAAAGATTTTATTTATTTATTTGACAGAGAGATAGACAGAAGAGCACAAGCAGAGGGAGTGGCAGAGGGAGAGGGAGAAGCAGGCTCTGCACTGAGCAGGGAACCCGATGCGGGACTCGATCCCAGGACCCTGAGATCATGACCTGAGCCGAAGGCAGACGCTTAACCATCTGAGCCACCCAGGGGCCCTCAAAAAATTTTTTTAAAGATTGTATTTATTTATTTGACAGAGAGAGAGCACAAGTAGGCAGAGTGGCAGGGAGACGGAGATGCAGACCCCCACTGAGCAGAGAGCCCGCCATGGGGCTCCATCCCAGGACCCTGAGATCATGACCTAAGCTGAAGGCAGCTGCTTAACCGACTAAGCCACCCAGGCGCCCCTTTATTTCAAAATTTTTTAAAAAACCAATACCACCAAATGGTAAGGGTACAACTGAAACTCTCACACAGGACTGACAGGAATGTAGAATCATATAATAACCATTTCCTATAAAACTAAACAGATGTTCACAAAAATACTTTTATAAGGAGAAACTTATTCATAATGACTAAAAACTGGGAACAGCCTGGGTGTCCACCATCAGGAGAAAAAACCAATAAACTAATCCATCCATGTAAATAAATAAAATAAATAAATAAATAAATAAAATCTTTAAAAAAAAAAAAGAACTGTCCTAATCTTGATGGGAG